TGTCCGTGGCACCCTCCCCTTCCCCTAGAGTGCAGACTCCCATCTTGCTCACGGTGTGATGTCTAGGGCGGGGCCAGCTCTATCGCAGGCTCTGTATTTATTGAATGGAGGCATTTAGCTTCTCCCAGGAGTCTAGAAAGCAGAAGAGGCAGACCGTATCCTTTTTATAGTTGAGCTGCTCTCTGAAAGATGAAATCAATACCTTAAATGCGCTGGCCACCCAGTGGTTGGGGTTAAAATGAGTCAAAACCCCTCCCTCCCCGCCCAGTCATCGCAGCGTTTTCCACCGCGCCGGCCTGGTTTGCCTGATGTCATCTGTTTTTTTCTTCAGTGCCTCCAGCCTGGTTCCAAAACTTTTCTAAAATTACTATCTGCTTCAGCCATTATAGCAACCTGACCGCAGCTCAGATTGACCACAGAGTTTGAAAATTCTGTAGGGGCTTTAAATTAGGGACTCTCACTTCTGCTGTCTCCTGACCTGCTTTTTCTATGGCTAAGACCCTGACGTGTTTATAAGTCTGTATCCTTTCCTTCCATATATGATCAGAATATTTAATGAAGCCCAAATCTTTGCTTAATTTGAATGGAGTAATCTGTATCCTTGGTATGGATTTCAATCCTGGCTCTTCTAATACTGGTATAAGTCACTTAATCTTTCTGGGCCTTGGTTTCCTCATTTTCTAAGTGAAGAAAATAACAGTAACTACCCCATAGGGCTGATCTGATCATTAAAGGAGATTATGAAAAGTGCCTTCCGCATAGCGCTGACTCAGTGTGATTGTTATGAGTTGCATTAATACATTCCACGCACTCATCCACGAGAGGTGACAACGTGGAGCAAGCCACATTTGGGGTCTTCTCCCTCCAAACTTTCAGCGCCGTGGGGAAGAGAGTTCAGTAAGCATAGCAACCCGTGCCAAGGTCTCTAAGGGGGTAGAGGGCAGTTATCTTAGGCCCCTCTCCTCTCATACCCATCAGCGAATCATGTCAGCTCTATCTTCCCCCGAAATCCAGAATTTGATGTCTCGCCACCTTTATACCCTGATCTGGACCTTGATCAACCCCCACTTGGGTCGGCTCCCTCCATCCACACCTGTGCCCCACATTTAGCCCCCACAGATTGGCCAGCGTACCTCTTAAGATGTAAATCAACGTTGCTGTTATGAGCACAATAACCTCACCCCACCTCAAAGATACCCACGTCCTAATCCCCGGAGCGAACACATCCCATGGCCCAAGAGCCGCGCAGATGCAGCGAAAGACCTTCAGACGGGCAGGCTGTTCTTGATTATTCAGTGGGCCCAACCGAGTCCCACGAATCCTCCACAGTGGACAGGCTTTCCAGAGGAAGGGAGCCTCTAGAAGCTGAAAAGCAGGCAAATAGATCTTCCCCCAGAGCTTCAGAAGAACCACAGCTTTGCCAACATATTAATTTTACCGTGGCGACACAACTCCTGACCTCCGGACCTGTAAAGTAATAAATGTGTGCTGTTTGAATCCACTAAATTTGTGGCAGCAGCAGGACTAGCAAACAAACGCATCACTCTTCCGGGCAGAGCCATCCAGCGCCTCCCTGGCTCACACAGGGTGGGAGACAAAGTGAGCTGCAGGGAGCTTGGTGACCTGACCCCTGACCCTCACGGACACACTTCTTCTGGATCCGTAGTGCTCTCTGCCTCAGCCACTCTGGCCACCTGGCTGTTCCTCTAACACTCGGGTTCTGCACACTTGAAACACACACACACACACACACACACTTCTCCTCCCCACATAGCCATCTTCATGCTTTCCTTGATCACCACAAGCCTGTCCCCAGTCTCCCATATAGAACTAGGCGCCTGCCCCTTGTCCCGTGTGCGGCACGCCCTGCCTTGTTTCCTCATTAACACTTATCACCCCCTGACATGCTGTTTAATCATTCATTGTCTCCACCCCCCACACACACTTAGAAACCGTGAGCTCAGGAGGGCAGGGAGTTGGCCTCCTCTGCTCCTCTCTCTGCCCGCACGGGATAAGTGCTTGGTAAATAATTGATCGCTCAGGGGGCTGAGAAGCATGAGGGAGAGGGAGAAGGGAAGAGGGCCTGCCGCAGCGTGTGGGAACAGAGGAGCCCAGAGGGAAGCTGGGGACGCAGCTGGATGCAGGCGGTGACACAGGCAGACAAAGGCTTGAGTGAGGACATTAAATGGCCACAGGCTGAGCATGCGGGGCAGCATCGTGAGGCTCGGAGACCACTGCAGGCTGCCGGACTCACTGCTGACTGCTGCGGGGACAAGGGGCTTTAAGGCCAAGAGTGGCTCTCTGGAGCTAGACGGCTGCTTGGGTTCGGTCCTGGCCCAGCTCCTGACACGCTGTGGGTCTTCTGCCGGCCACGTGTCATCTCTGTCACGGGGGTCTGGTGATGACTTTCCAGGGCTACTGTGAGGGAAACATAGCCAAAGCATTTAAAGTCATGCCTGGCATGTGTGAGCATGGGGGCAGGGTCCCTGTCGCTGTTACTGGTGACAGGGACACCGAAGAGGTTTATACCAACGGTTAAAATCATAGAGCTTAGACTTTAAAAGATATGTTGTTGCCAGGTGTGATGGTGCACGCCCGTAATCCCAGCACTTGGAAGGCTGAGGCAGGAAGATCAGCATGAGTTTGAGGCCGTCCTGGGCTACATAGTGAGTTTAAGCCCTGCCTAAACTGCATAGTGAGATCTGGTCTCCAAAAAAAAAAATAAAAGGATTTGTCATGGCGGTAGTGTGGAGAAGGGCAAAAACAGGGAGGGAAAAGGGCTTTGAAAGGATTATCAGACCCTTTTAGAATTAAGAGCGATGGTTCAGAAAACACAGTGCTGGTTACTCTTATACTCAGAAGTTTTCAGTGCATGGTTGCAAGTGGGTTCGATGGCTCTGTGTGAGAGAGAACCAAGAGATTTCGCTTATGCAAAGGGCGCCTTTCAAACCGCAGGCTGTGATTCAGTAGTGGGTCATAGACCAAGTTAGTGGGTCCAAATGGCTTTCAAATAAGAATAGAAAACAGCGTGGCATTTGGAGCGGAGTCACATGTTCTGACATTTTGGCCTCCATTACATGTTTGTATCTATGGATCTCGCAATGTTGATTTCATGCTCATAACTATTGGTCACCCGGACATGTCCTGGCATCTCAAGTTTGCAAACACTGCTTGAGGGCGTTTGATTGGCTTCTTGTCCTCCAAGCTGGCTGTGTCACCCTGGGTGAGTCCTCTCCAAGACCTCTGACGTTCCCGCCCCGTAGTTATGGCTCGAGCTAGAAGACAGCTCTCTGTCTGGGTGTGTGGCCAAGCGTCCTGCTGTGACCACAGTGAGTCGGGAGGCAAAGCCCAACCCCTCCCCAGCGGGCAGCCCTGGGAAGTGTGAGCCAGCGTGAGCCTCAGCGCAGCTCCGCACCCCAGCATCTTGTGCTTCCAAGTCCGGGAGTAGGAGGAAGGACAGGAGGTGTGAAATTTTTATCTCCTAATGCTGCCCACCTCTGCTGCCTTTGAGAGTCACATCGTTGACAAGCTGCCCACAGCTCAGCGGCAATGGCCCTGCCTGTCTTGGTCCCCCTTCCAGCTGCCAGCTGTGGGGTCACCGAGGAGGAAAGCGTGGGCTATAATGTCCACCAGGTGCCGCACGCCACTTTTGTCGCTGGCAACATGTGTTTGGCACCAGCGCACCTATTCGTCTTGCTCTAATCTCTTTCTCCCTCTCTCCCTGTGTCTCTCTCAATACCAGGAATTGAACCCAAGGCCTTCTTACCAAGCTACATCCCCAGCCCCTTTTTTGTTTTGTTTTGAGCCAGCGTCTCACTAAGTCAGTAAATTACCCAGGTTAGTCTCAAGCTTGCAATCCTCCTGCCTCAGCCTCTCCAAGGTTTGGGATTACAGGCATGTGCCACACATCACACATCTGGTCTTACTCTAATAAATCTTTTTTTTTTTGTCTTTTTGAGACAGGGTCTCACTATGCAGTTCCGGCTGGCCTTGAGCTCACTTTGTAGCCCAGGCTGGTCTCAAACTCACAGTGATCCTCCTGCTTCAGCCTCCTGAGTGCTGGGATTACAGTCATGTGCCACTATGCCCAGCCTTTAATAAATCTTCTAATTCTCTGAGAGAGGTGAGAGGACCAAGAGTCCGCACCATGAGGGGTCTGAGCAGTGGCAGGTGGGACCAGGGAGCTGGACAATTTCTGTTCTTTGAATTTAGTTATGCTTGTTCCATAGTGTAATGGTTAGCACTCTGGACTCTGAATTTAGTTATGCTGTGATCAGTGGTGCAGAAACCATAGCACGTTGAACAGCAGGACTCCTGGAGGTGCAGGGGGTACTTCTGGTACTTCCGGATGCTGCCATTCCTCTAGCAGTTCATCCTCGTCCTGGCTATTTTTACTCATTTGAAACATCATCCTTCCCATCGCATGCCGGAGCACACACATCTGGTGTTTCAAACGTGTGCTTTGGGACTTCAAGCATTTTGGCAAGCATTTGTTTTGCTGCAGAGGCTATGAGTAATATCAACATGAGAATGTTTTAAAAATGAATACTTTCCTTTGGTGAAACGAAAGCTCTCTATCACAGCCTTTCTTTGAAATTATAATTATAATATAGAGTTGTAGTATGCTGTAGGTCAGTGTGTTCAAGGAGACAAATAAATAGGTAAAAGTCACCCCCATATGTCTTTTAAATAACAAGAAGCCGCCTTGTCAGTAGGAGAAATGAAGGAGTGAAGCACTTACAAACCATATTTAGCAGCTGGTTTGAAAGCGGTCGCTTCTTTTCTTTTGTATTTAGAGGTATTTTGACTTGATTCTTGTTGTTGATAAAAGTTAAAGAAATATTTTTAATCTCAGCTGAGAAAGCCAACAGCTTGACTTTATCTGTCAGTGCCAATTTTATCACATGAATGAAGAGGAGGAAGGAGGCGGATGGATCTCCACTGCCTTCTACCCCCTCCCACCTGAGCCTAGAGGCAGTTGAAGGACAAGGTGACAGGGGTCGGTGACCTTTGGCAGTTAAGGAGAGAAGAATGGAGCCTAAGACCTGAGTGCCCCTGGAGTGACAAACAGTGGGAAGTCTGACTCCGTACCATGTACAGTGCTTCAAGCCTGGAAAATCATATACAATAGTAAGCCCCTCCCCCCCGCCTCCGTTATTTGGATTAAACGTCTCTTCATATCTGAGAAGACCATGGGGGGTGGTGTTTGAGACAGTATCTCACTGTGTAGCCCAGGGTGGCCTCTAACTCACAGCGATCCCTCTGCCTCAGCCTCCTGAGTGCTGGACTTGCAGTCCTATACCACCACGCATGGCTCCCCGCATTTCTTTTTAAAATAGTAAAAGTGGGGCTGGGGAGGTAGCTTAGTGGTATAGAACTTGCCTAGCATATGTGAGGACTTGGGTTCCATCCCCAGCACATCTCAAAAACCTAGGAAAGAAAATAAAGAACAGGGGCTGTGGGTGTCGCTCAGTGGTAGCTGAGAACACATGAGGCCCTGAGTGCGAGCCCCAGCACTTGGGGAGGAGGAGCTAAAGGATACATTTGATGTCTGCTAAAAGGTAATACTAGCATGACCTGTGGTGATACCAATGCTCACGCGCAAGCACTTTCAAGGCCAGCTCCCAGCGTGACAGATAGGATTTGGGAGCTCCTGGCGGCTCCCTAGCAGGTCTGGGAACTGGAGCTCAGGGAAATGCTTATCTGTTTGGACAGACTGGTATGAATTCTTTCCTTAATTAATTAGAACAAGATCACAGTGCTCATTATTTTTTTGCATATGAAACAAGCCTAGATCTTAGCATAACTTCGTGCTGTCTTCCCCATAAGGCTTTCATCTCCTTTCAATTTTCGTTTTAACTGTGTTATCATGTGAGATATTGAACAGTCAGTATTTGTGCAGGACATAGATGATTACAATAAAGAGAGAAAATGCGAGACTTTCAGGCTGATGGCTGGGGTGGTAGCTCGGTGGTAAAGCACTTGCCTAGCATCCCAAAGACCCCGAGTTTGATTTCCGGCACCAAAGAAGAAAGAAAAGAAAGGAAATGTTTTGAAACCACACATTGACATTTACTGTTTCCACCTGAGGAGGAGAGAATCTCTTTTTAAACTTTCACACAGTAAAGCAAGCTAAAAACTTCACTCATCAAATAAATAGTAATTTAAACAAGAACTTGCTGAGGAAATCTCATCACAAGCTAGGCGTGGTGATGCACGCCTGTAATCCCAGTACTTGGGAGGCTGAGGCAGGAGGGTCACTGTGAGTTTGAGGCCAACCTGAGCTACGTAATAAATTCAAGGCCAACCTGGATTGTATAGGGAGACCCTGTCTCAAACCATCCCCCCAAACAAAAAAAATAACAAAACCTTCATCACAGCAATGCTTTAGGGTCTGATCAATTTAAATCCATGGGAAAAAAAACCACATTTTTAACCCTCCTGTGTTCACATTTCTTGGAATAGCAGGTCTAAAAATATTCTTAACTGAAAACATATTTTCTGACTATAAAAATAATATACACATTTAGACAAAATGGAGAGACAACATACAGGAATAAAGTAAAAAAAAAAAATCACTACCAATATTGAATTCATTTCCTTCTAATTTTTCTCCTAGAAATAACATATACTCCACGGTGTTCTATGATAGAGTATTTCTACTGTTGGACGGCTGGGGTTGAACCCCAGGACCCCAGGACTGTGGGTTTCACCGCTGAGCTAAGCCCCACCCCCAATATACTGGTACTGTAATTTATTTCACCAAGCTATGAGTAAAAATTTAGGATAGGCCCCTTTTAGTGAAGCAGACATATATGCATATACACATCCTTTTCTTAGCATAAGTTCAAAAGGTGCATACATCTTATGTGTGTTTTTTTATTTTTTGTTTGTCTTTTTTTCCGGTACCAGGAATCAAACTCACAACCTTGTGCTTGCCAGGCAGGTGCATTGCCACTGAGCTAAATCCCTGGCTCCTGGTGTGTACATCTTAAATGTTGATATCCATTGCCAAATCATCCTTCACAGAAGTTCTGTGTGTGTACCAACAGGACAGGAAAACATCCACCTGCATGGTTGTACAGATATTTACTTAGTTCTCCCCTTGGGTTTCCCGTTTCCCTTGCGAAGGTAATTTATCTTCTGTGCCAGAGCTCTCTGAACTGTGCAGCACTGGAAGCCAGGCTTCTTTCGAGAGCAGGCATTTCCTCACGTGCTGTGTGTTGGAGCCAGGGCTGCGGGCTTGGATATGCCCTTAGCCTGCCCTTAGCGGAGAAGAAAGCTCCTGTCTAGCAGGTGGGCTGGCCATGCCTTAGACACCGAACAGTAACTGAGACAATTTGCAGGCCCTGTGCCACGTGATCATAACACAGTGGTAAGCAAGCCACTCAGTCTCAGCTCTCAGAGAACTTGCTTTCCAGTAATTATGTTCTAGAGCACTAAGCTTGTTAGGTGTGGTGGCTCACACCTGTGATCCCAGCACTTGGGAGGCTGAGGCAGAAGGATCATCTTTAATTTGAAGCCAGCCTAGGTTATGTGTGAGTTCAAGGTCAGCTTGAACTACATACATAGTGAGACCCTGTCTCCAAAAAAGAAATTCTTTTTCATGAACAGGGGGCATATATATATTTTTGAATTTGCATGTGTTCAATTTCTGAATTCAGTAATTTTTGTTTCCCTCACTTTTTCTTTTTTTTTTTGGTAGTGCTGGGGATCAAACCCAGGGTTTTGTGCATACTGAGCAACACTCTATCACTGAGCTATGTACCCCAGCTCTTTTTATATTTTTATTTTTATTTTGAGACAGGGTCTCACTAAGTTCCCTGGGCTGGCCTCAAATTTGTGATCCTCCTGCCTCGGCCTCCAGAGTACTGGAACTATAGGCGTGTGCCACTACGCCAAGCTCATTGTTTTCTTTTTTGTTTCTGTGGTTAATATTTCACTTTTGTGGGCTGGGATACTTTTATGCTCAGTGGCATAAGTGCTTGCCGGGCAAGCCTGAGGTCATGAGTTCTATTCTCGGCACCAAAAAAGAAACATCACTTTTGTGCACACATTGGTCCCCTCTTTGTCCTTGCTAAGAGGCCTGATTTTGTTCAGACGCTGGGTGAGCGTGGTACTACTGAGAGCTGGACTGGGCGGCTGGGTTTTCAGGAGGAACAGGAGCTGTGCACTGAGCCCTGGCTGTCCATGTAGCTCCTACGTGCACAGGCTCCTCTGGGCCTTCGTTTCCTCACCTGTAAAGTACAGATGAGACAGTCCTGGGTTCCTCGAGCTCAGGCAGTGCATGGTGTTCTGAATTTAAAAATACGGGAGCAAATCAATAATCTTCATCAGATGTCTGCAGTGCCAGGAACTGTGCTAGCACTGAACGTCCAAAGAGAAATAAGATAGTACCCCTCCCTTTTTTTTTTTGTATGAGGAATCAAACTCAGGACCTGCGCCTAGCAGGCAGACGCTGTGCTGCTGAGCTATATCCCCACTATCCCTGCTTTTAAAGAGGTCATGGAGTCAGGGATGTTGATATAGTCTTGTAATTCCACTACTCAAGAGGCTGAGACAAGAGGATCTCAAGTTTGAGGCCAGCCAGAGCAATTTAACAAGACCTTATCTCAAAAACAAAAACAAACAAACAAAAAACTCCAAAAGCCCAGCTCTAATAAGGGAAATAGATGTGTAAAAACAAAAAGTAAATTTTTGAGGATGGGCTTTCCTCTCTGGATGCATAGAGCTGGAACAACGGATTATCAACATTTTCATGTTTTTATTTTGTTTTGTTGTATTGTGGTACTGTACTGGGAATTGAAACCAGGGCCTTTGTGCTGAGCTATATCCCATCCCTTTTAATTTTTTTAAATTTTGAAATAGGATCTCAGCTAGTTCCCTAGGCTGGGCTCAAACTTGCAGTCCTGTTTTCATCAGCCCCAAGTGCCATGATTATAGCTGTGCACCACCAGGCAGGGATCAAGATATTTTTCATACAGGTCCGTAGGAGCCTGAGCCTACAGTGTTAGCTAACTGAGAGGCTGATGCAGAAAGGTTGCTTCAGCCCAGCAGTTGGAGACCAGCCTGGGCAACATATACATACATACATACTTACATACATACATACATACATACATACATCTGTGTTCCTTTTCTTACACTATTTACAAGAATGGAATCCATGTGGGAGGAAGCATACTACAGAAACAAAACTTTTAGAAGAACCTACAAAAGAATGTGCTCATGACCTCAGAGCATGGAAAAATGCCTTCAGAGACAAGAAGCACAAATCGTAAAGAAGATAGATTTGACTACATTAAAATCAATGACTCCTGTTTATCCAAAGGCACCACAGGGCTGGGATGGGCCTCAGAAGGAGAGTGCTTGCCCAGCATGCACAAAAGATGGACTCCACCTCCAGCGCTGCAAACCAGAAAACAGAAAACTAGGCAGAAGATGGGCATTTAACAGAAAAGGCAACATAAATGACCAAGAAATTATTTTCCGCTTGCATAAAACATCTATTATAAATTAGAGACTCACAGAGGTGCTTTTTGGCTGTTCTTGTTTTGCAGTGCTGGGGATGGAAGTCAGAGCTTGCACTTTGCCACTGAGTTATACCTCAGCCGTGGAGCTGATTTTTATACCATCAGATCGGCAAGAATTATTGCACGGGCAGCACCCAGCGCCACATATTAGGACATTAACGGGGCTCACACAGGACAGAGGTAACAGGAACCGGTTTACCACCTGGCCAGCAAGCTGCCTCTACCTTATGGAGTTGGTACCCAAGGCCCCAAGGCCCCACGATGCCACTCTTGGCCACAGGCCCTGGAGATGCTCTTGTAGAAATAAACCTGGGACAAGTACGTTCACGACCAAATCATTTCTGAAAGCAAAGAACAGTAAGCAGCTCAGCTGTACACAAAAGAATGGGCACATTAAGATATAGCCATGGCAGTGAAACTGCAGAACTGAAGGGTTAATCTGGGTGAGTCTCACCAACGTATTTCCAGCTAAAGAAAAATGAAAGAGCTGGACGTGGTGACACGTGCTTGTAATCCCAGCACAAGGTGGAATCCATCCTGGGCAACTAAATAATTTAGCCAGGCCCTGCCTCAAAATAAAAAACAAAAAAGGGCTGGGGACGTAGCTCAGTGTGAATGCCCTAGATTCAATCCCCAGTACCACAAGAGAAGAATGAGGCGGGGAAGGGGGGGAGGGGAGGGAGGAGGTGGCAAGTTACAGGAGAACACATACAGTATTATATCATTTATATAAAGTTAAAAATGTAAGCTGGGCATGGTGATGCATGCCTGTAATCCCAACCTTTGGGAGGCTGAGGCAGGAGGATTGCCATGAAGTTGAGGACAGTACAGGCTACGTAGTGAGTTCAAAGCCCGCTTGAGCTATTTGGTGAAACCCTGTCTCAAAGGAGCAAAAATATAAAAAACAAAAACAAATAAACAGAAAACTAAAAATGTAGAAAATTAAACTGTATCCTTTAGGAACACATATAAAAGCACAAGGGAGAAAAGGAATACTAAATACAAAATTCAAAATAGTAGTTATTTCTTTTCCTTTTCTTCTTTTTTCTAACATATTCCTGCTGGCTTGAACCTTGAGTGGCACATGCATGACTGCCCGTTGTGCAGCGTGTACCACTCCATGGGACTGTCCCAGGCCACAGATAGGACAGTTGTGTATGTACCACCAGTGGTTCAGAAGCCCCTGGCATCGAGACCTATGACTATGGCTGCAGTAAATCTGCACTAGGATGGCCAGTAGCTCCTGAGGGGCACAGCCAGGAAGGACCAAAACCATTCTCAGCAGTGCATCTTCAGCAGGGTTTCTCAGCTCAGCACTGTAGACATTTGGGGCGCAGAATGCTGGGTGCTGAGGGTCCAGCCTGTGCCGTGCAGGACGTTTAGAGCACTGCTGGCCTCTACCCACGAGATGCCAGGCGCAGAAACCCTTCCCCAGGGTGACATTCAAGATAGGCGCGCCTTCCGAGGGTTAGGAGGAGAGGTGGGCGAACAGGAGATCACGGCAGGTTCAGTAGCCTGGCCAGGTTCTATGTCATAAGCCTGTGTAGACATCGGGTATTTGTTACTTTATTTCTGATGCATGCGCGCGCACACACACACACACACACACACACACACACACACACTCACACACTGGGGATGGTGAGGAAGGGAACAAGTCATTTGCATGAATGCAAACAACAGCATGTGGGGGGACAAGGCCTCAAACAACAATTTGTCATTACTCGAGCACCAAGTGACAGAGGGATGGTGAGCAGCTCTTCCCACACACCTCAGCCTTGTGGAGCACATACTAAGGGCTGGCTCCATAGCACCTCTGGGACACAGAGATGCAAGGAGCAGTTCTGTCCCATGCGGCGTCCGGGGGACACACCCAGTTTGCCGCTAGCGCAGAGACACGTCTCTCAGGTCCCGGGACTCTGGCTGCGGCTGTGGCGGTGGCGGTGCAGCCGTAACATCAGAGTGGTGGCAGAGTGCAGCAGCCTCAGTCCAGTAGTTCTTTCTTGCCTGTGACTCCAGGCTTGTCACTGTCTCCGTGGACTCCAAACCTCCATCGCTACCTTCCCGCTGGCCTTGGGAGCTACCGTGGAACCATTTTATAATTTCTTAAAAGTCAGTTTTACTGAGTTATGGTTTACCTCACTTAAAGTTATAACCTATTGTATTTATAGTGTGATGAAGATTCTTGTTAGTGTTTTTACAGTGGGACTGAACCCAGGGCCTCTCACATGCTAGGCAAGCACCCTACCACTGAACTAGTTCCTAGTCCCATGGTGTGAGGTTTATCTTGAGACAGTTTTCCCAAGTTTTCTAGGCTGGCCTTGAATTTGGATCCTCCTGCCTCAGCCTCCTGAGTAGCTTGAATTATAGGCACGTGCCATCATGCCTGGCAATTTGATAAACGTCTACACCTGAATAATTCCCCCTGGAAGCAAGACATAGAACATTCCCATTACACACAAAAGTTCCCTTGCGCCTGTTACAGTAAGTCTTCCCCAATTTGCCACCTGGACAGCCATTGATGATTAATTTTACATTTTTTTGAATTTCATAGAAATAGAATCCTATAGTATATACTCTTTTGTGTCATGCTTCTTTCATTCAGCATAACATTTTTGGAATTCACCTGTGTTATTTATCCCTCTTTTAAATTGTTTGCTTGTTTGAGACAAAGTCTCATGATATAGTTTAGGCTGGTTTTGAACTCACCACATAGCCCAGGCTAGCCTTGAACTCATAGAGATCCTCCTGCATCAGCCTCCTGAGTTCTGGAATTACAGACGTGTGCCATTATGCCCAGTTTTGTTTATCTCTTTTTGTTGAGTAGCATTCCACTGTTTGGATATATGACAATTTGTTTATCTCTTTGCTTGTTGGTAGGCATTTGATTCCAGTTTGAAGCTATCCTGGATAAAGCTTCTATGGGCTTCTAGAATGGGCTAATAGACTGGAGGTGTAGCTAGCGGTAAACAGCTTGTCTCCCAGGTGTGAGGTCCTGGCTTCAATCCCAAGTGCTGTGAAAAATAATAATAAAAAAAATAATGTTATGGACATTAACCAGGACTTTAAGGAATGTCTTTCCTATTATTAAACTGCCTCAGAATTTTCTCATCTCTGAGACTCATGCCTGGGCTCCACCTCTGGAAACTGTGATTCAATAGGTGGGGTCTTTGCGTCTCTATTCAGACAATTAACATAATAACGATATGGATAGTTCTGTTATGCAGTTATGAACTATTCATCTGTAGCTGCTTAAATTCTGTTTCCTGGACAGACAGGTAATTACTATCTGAGCTCATAATCTAGTGGGCAAACATATCCATGTGCACAAGTAATTACAGGGCTTTGGATGAGGAGGAGGTCACTGTGGAAGAGGCAGAGATCCCTTTCTCCAACAGATGTCAGGCCCCTTGTAAGTGCCAGGTGATGCACTAGGACCTAGTACTCCAGTCATGGACAAAATGACACCACCCAGAAGTCTGGGGAGTATAAATAAGGACATCCAAGGCTACATTTTAATACGACCTGAGAAAGTTATGGACAGGAGGGAGCTTAACAGCCTGAATACAGAGAAGGCTGGGTGTGATGGCACAGACCTGGAACCCGAGCACTCAGGAGGCTGAGGCATTAGGATCACTGTGAGTTTGAGGCCAGCCTGGGTACATAGCAAGTCCCTACCCCCCCCCAAAAAAAAAACCAAAAAATAAAAACAAAAACAATCAACAGTCCTCATCCCCAATAAAAAATAAAGGAGAAGTTGTGTCACTGGGATGGGGAAGTACACAAGGAGGTTCAAGCCACATTTTCAGTAATGACAAGGGGCTCACTAGGCACACAAAGGAGAGAGGACAAGCGTGCGCCCTGAGGCAGGCAACAGACTTTCTGCTTGAGGCCGTTTGCAGTGGAGATGGGCAGTGCACAGTTAGGAGAGGCTGGCAAATCCCGGGTACTTATAACATTAAGAAATTTGGGGTTTCTCCTACAGACCGAGGAGCCTTCAGCGTCCCCTGGAGTCTGTGTGTGGGCAGTCTGGAGACGGGGAGCCAGGTGGGCAGAGCCCTGTTTCAACCACCCTGACTCTGCTGTTGTCTATTTTCATGATAAGCATCTGGGAAGGACTGAATTATTGATTGACACTGATTTTGGAGGTAGGCACAAGAGTGCACGCCTATAATCCCAGCTACCCAGAGGCAGGAGGAGCACCTATTTTGTGTTTGTGTTCCATTGAGACAGGATCTTGCTATGGACTTCGGGCTGGCCTTGAACTCATTATGCAGCCCAGGCCAGACTTGAACTCATGGCGAGCCTCCTGTATCAGCCTCCTGAGTGCTAGGATTACAGGCATGTGTGGCAAGGATCATAAATCTGAAACTAATGAGGGCAATTTAAGGATCCCCTATCTCCAAAAAAGGAGGTTTGGGATGGGGATATAGCTAGCACTGCAGTGCTTGCTTATCATGTGTGAAGCCCTGGGTTCAATATTCAGTAGCTGCAAACAATGCTTTGTTTTGTTTTGAGATGGGTCTTGCTGTGTTGCCCAACCTGGCATTGAACTTGCAATCTTCCCACCTCAACCTCCAGAGTAGCTGCAATTACAAGCATGCACTACCACACCTGGAAGATGCTTTTCTTTGATTAATTAATTGTTTTTTATCTTTTTTTTTTTTTTTTAAGTATCGGGAATCGAACTCATGACCTCAGGCTTGCCAGACAAGAGCTTATGCCGCTGAGCTATATCCCTGGCCCTTTTTTTTGTCTTTTTTGAGACTGGTCTTGAACTCACTTTGTAGCCCAGGTTGGCCTTGAACTTGGAATGATCCTCCTGCCTCAGTCTCCTGAGTGCTGGGATTACAGGCATGCACCATCACACCCATTTGTTAATTTTGTTGGTACACTTTACTTATTTATTTTTTTGTTGATACACTTTAGATAGATGTAATAATCACATTCAAAAGGGTTTTGGGAGCAGGG